GGGAGAGGCACCACTGCCACTGCCATGGGCGGGGAAGCCAGCGGGAGCTTTGCGATGAAGGACAAGAAGCAAGAGGACTGGCGGCTCATTAAAACTAGTCTGGGGAAGTCCTTTGCAGGCGGCCAGTTCCAGCCACCTGCAAAGGACTTCCCCACGTTTGCTTTGGTAGAAATCTCTGCGCGGCAGTTAGAAACTGCTGCGCGGGGATTTCTTTCCATGTGCGCGGCCGCGCAGGCGCGCACCTTAGAGGGAACAGTGGTGTGAGTTTCTATAAATTATATCTCACTATATTGTTTACAGGAGGGACAGAGACAGTCTTTTTTCTGGATTCTCTGATGAGATCTGTCCAATATGGTTGAACCTCTGGCATAGCTCTCTCAGAACACACAAACGTGAGGACCATATAAAGATAGTACTTTACATATTTATTGTTATTGTTGTTGTTGTTATTATTATTCTATGACTATCAATGATTATGTTCAGGCATTAAAAATATTCAGATACAGAAATGGATATCACATTCTGCAGCTACATTATATTGGATATTTTTATATCCAAATGAATGATACCTATGTACATCCAAGGAATTATAGCAACTTTCCTGAAACCAATCAGAACTTTTGTCTAATCAATAAATCTTGGTACAATGCCTTTCATAACATTATTGAAAAAGTATAAAAGACAGATCAAATAAATGCAGAAGTCCCTGGCCTGAATTTAAGTATTATTTGCCATTTTCAAAGGACTTGGCAAAAAAATAAAGTGCTCATGTCTGTTCCCTCAAATGAAAGATTTATATAAGGGGAGGAAGTGAGCCTGCTCAAGACTTATTGTTAATGTGACAATTATAACTTCTAGTCACTTTATATGTCTGAACTGAACTTTATAAACTGAAATAATGGGAAGTATCAGTCATCAACATGTCTGATCCATTTCTAATAATGTATAATATTGGTATGAAATTAGAAAGGGAAAGTTTTTTTAAAAAAAACCCAAAACATCTGTTATTGGCGTCACACAGTGAAACACTGAAATGTGGTTTACTAAGTAAAGAAGTATTTATTTTGGTTCCTGATTTTGCTTTAAATTGCCTATCACTGTTTTAATTACTACTTATATTCACAATTACAGCCTTACTAGTTTGCCAAGGCAATTAAAGAAACATTTAAGCAATTGAATACTGAAAGCCCTACACTCCTCAAAGTCATGTAGAAAACCAAGTTTTCAGAAATTTAAATGATTAGTGAAGGTGCCTCACAGGAATATGCAATATAAGATTTTGCCCTGGACAACAAAAAGGTTGAAAAAAATCATTCTTGTATCACAGAGAGTTCAGGCGGAAGATATTTTGTTTCGCTTATTTCTAATGTTCTAAACTTTCTAACAAACTGATAAATATTACAATTCTTCTTCATCATATTCTGATTCTCACAAAGATGACATTTGATACAAAATTAAAATTATAGATAATTTTCTTACAGATAATTTCTACCACAGTTCTTGTGATAGGAATTACAACAACAAAGAATAGTTATGGCATATTTTTCAGATGCTAAGTAGAACAAAGCCTATTGATCTTGGAAGATACTGCCATGCTGTAACTCCAGTTTGAAAGATCATATTATTATCAAACCGAGTGCAAATGAACTAAATAAGCTGCTAGTTCTGATTATTTTGCTATATAGTTGGATTATTTTGTATTTTCAAAAAAAATTCAGATTCAGATTCAGATTTAGTTTATTTGTATGCCGCCCTTTTCCGGGAG